AGACCTGCTCAAAGTCCCACAGCTAGGAGGGGATGGAGCCCCTGGCAACAGAGCCTGTGTCCCTGACTACACAGCCCATCCCCAGTCTCACCCGGATGTTGCCCCTTACAAGGCACCTTCCCGGACTGCCCGGACCATGGGATCGCTCTTCTTATGTTCCCAAAGCACTCACTTCTTGCCTATTTAATTCATTGGAGGTAAATCATAAACTAGCAAGAGATGTTGCTTCTGCTAGACTGGGGGCTTCTTGAAAGGAAGGCTTATTCTCTTATTCTCATTCTTTTGTGTATCTCTGGGTCCAACAGCCTGTCTGAGGCATTGGGGGCCTTCAGTACAGTGTCTATTGAACCCTGTGACCTTGCCTTGTTTAACAAACACCCAGCACTCTTTGCTGCTTATCAGCTCACAGGTGGGTTTCCAGGAAAGCCCTGGGAGTAGTTGGGGGCAGGGGGAGATGAGTTGAAGGCAACAGACTCAAGGAGTCTTAACCCACAGAACCTCAATGGACCCACACCTAGTATGCAAGAGGTCTGTGAAGTTATATGGGAACAAGATTGCATCCTTATTTTTACTAACCTCTGATGGAAATTCAGCATTTCCTTCCATTGGTATGCGACCCATGACTTTGTCACCAGTAAAATTCCTGATAGTTTCCTTTCACATCACCGCCGTAGCAGACATCTATAAATATTTACATCCATCACTTCCTGGAAACTCCGGTTGTTCTCAGACCCACTGCTATATCTTGTATTTAAGACATTAATAAAGAGACACATATATAGCACACACTATACCACAATTTTAAAAAATCGTGGCAACTATATTTCAGTAGGATTGGCATTCTTGGAAATTTCAATAGAATTCAAAATCATATGTGTATTATGCATTTTAAAACATTATTCTGTGATGGGCCCATGGGCTTCACCAGACTGCAGGGGTTGTGGGTGGCAGCAGAAGGCACAAAAAATGTTAAGACACTCTACGTAGAGAATCGTGACTTAGAACTGGGTTTTGGAGCGAGACAGACAGGAGTTCAAACCTTGGTTCTGCCATTTACAAGTCAAATTACCTGGGCCTCAGTTCCCTCACCTGAAAAAATGGGGATTACTACCCATCCTACGGAATTAGCATCTAGCATCTGAGTAAAAGCCTGGACTCCTGGGCAGGCGACAATGCCTGAGCATAGTGGAGCCCTCCGCTGGGGTAGGTCCACCATTCCCTCAGCTTCCTACTTCTCCCGTCACAGAAGTCGTCCGTCTCCCTCAGCCTGGCTAAGCCCAGCTTTGTGTGTCCGGACAGAAAGGCTGGCCCCAGACCCTTCTTGGATACTCCCTCCCATTTCCCAGCCCAGAAGGAGGCTCACAAGAGAGGCCAGGCATCCCGCTCTTCTAAGCCTCGACGTGCACTTCCACATTGGTCCACTGGGTGGGGCTAGTTCACACTCTTAAGTTCTCAGCCCCACAGGGCAAAGCCAGAACTTCTCTCAGAGCCCGACCCTGACACCGCCCCCCTGTCCCTCCCACCTCCCTCCGCTTTTTTACTTTCATTTTTCAAATTGAGCCTGATATACAGGAAAGTTCCCCTTTTGTGACCTTCTCCAATAACCCCCCACTCTAACTAAGAATAGCGGTAACTCTCCTGACTTCCAACATCGTAGGTTAGCTTTTAAAAATGCGGTCATATAGAATACATCCTCTCTTTTTTTGAGATAAGAGTCTGGCTGTGTGCCCCGGCTAGAGTGCAGTGGCGTCATCACAGCTCACTGCAAGGGCAATATCCTGGGCTCAAGCGATCCTCCTGCCTCACCCTCCCGAGTAGCTGGGACCTTGCTCTTGCTCAGGCTGGTCTAGAACTCCTGAGGTCAGGAAATCCTCTTGCCTTGACCTCCCAAAGTGCTAGGATTACAGGTGTGAGCCACCGTGTCCAGCCCAGAATACATTGTTTTGTGTTTGGTTTCTTTTGTTCAACATCGTGTTTGTGAGATTACGTGCAGTCGTAGTTCACTCATTCACATTGCTCCATAGGCTCCATTTAGGGGGAATGTGCAATAATTTATCTGTCCCTTCATCTGTTGACTCAGCTTTTGAGCAGTTTCCAGTTTGGGGGCTGGTTTGAGGTTGCTCTGTGAAGGGGAGTTACAGCCCCCACGAACCACCCAAAATTGGTTCTGAGCTCCCAACTCATGATGCCACACACTCACCAAGAGGGTTTGAAAAGATCTGTTGCTTACGTAGTGAGGCTTTCTGGGAAGAGAGGGGTCCACACTCAAGCAGTCTGTTCAGCTTGAGCAAAAGAAGGGGCAAGTGGCTCTGGTTTTTACACTGACTGAGCAGAGGACAGGTGGCTCCCTTTCCCACCTGCGCCAAGGAAAGGAGCACCCGGGCTTTCTGATTGGCATGTCCAGGTGTGGGACAAAAGAGAAAGAGAAATGATGGGGCGTAAAGTCTGTTGTGATAAAACATCAAAAATGGGGTTAAACTCTTTGTAACAGGATTATTACAAATAGTACTGCTATGAGCATTCTTATACCAGCGTTTTCTGTTGGGCATGTCCCTCAGAGTGCAAATGCTGAGTTATAATCTGACTTTGGTAAATACTGCCTAACAGTTTTTCAGAGTGATTTTACCAAATCATATTCCCTCCAACAACATTCATTGCACCGCTCTTGGTTTGCCCATTCTGTCGTTGGGGACATTTGCTTTGTCTCCAATTTTCAGCTATTACAAATAAAGCTGCTATAAACATTCATGTGCAAATTTTTGTATGAACATAGGTTTTCATTTCACCTGGGTAAATACCTAGGAATATGTTGTATGGTAAACATACGCTTGTGTAAAAAAACCAGCCAAAAAGGCTGTACCTTTTTGCATTTCCACCAGCAAAATATGAGTTCCAATAGTTTCACATCCTCCTAAACTCTTGGTATGGTCAGTCTTTTTACTTTTAGCCATTCTCATAAGTGTGAAATAGGATCTCACTATGGTTTTAATTTGCATTTCCTTACTAATAACATTGAACCTATGTTCAAATGCTCACTTGCCATCCACATACTTTCTTAAATGAAGTGTTTTTCACATATTTTACAAAATTGGGCTGCGGCATTTTCTTACTATTGAGTTTAAAGGGGGTCTTTATATATCCCAGATACAAGTCCTTTATCAGATATATGATCTACGAATATTTTCTCCTAGTCTGTGACTTGTGTTTTCATTATTTTAAACAGTGTCTTTTGAGGAGCACAAGTTCCTAATTTTGGTAAAATCCAAATAACTAATTTTTTCTTTTATGGATTGTGCTTTTGATGTCTTATCTAAAAATTTTTTGCTTACCCTAATGTCATAAAGATTTTCTCCTGGAAATTTTATAATTTTAGCTTTTTACATTTAGGCCTATGATTGATGAACCTGTATTAGCAAAATTAAATAGGCTATTTGAAAGGGGGTTTTGATAATATAAATTTTAAAAGAGGTTATAGTTTATGTCCAGTAGAACACTGAAGATTATAAGCAGGGTCATAGTTCTGTACACAAAGTCAAATGTTAAGGATGTCTGCTAATTCAGACTTTAACTTTCAGAATAAATTATATGACGTTCTGGGGAAAGTAGGGGCTACTTTCCTCTTTGTGTTCTCCCTTTTATAAATGCACTGTCTACAGTGTATATTTAGTACTGTGGTGATGAATTTTAGGTGTCAACTTGACTGGATTAAGGAATATCTAGAAATCAGGAAAGCGTTGTTTTGGGGTGTGTCTGTGAGGGTGTTTCCAGAGGAGATGAGTGTGTGAGTATGAGCAGACTAGGTGGGGAAGATCCACCCTCAGTGTGAGCAGGCACCACCCAATCTGCTGGGGACCCAGAGAGAACAAAAACAGAAAAAGCGAATGTGCCAATCTATCTGCTGGAGATGGGATACACTCTTCCTCTCCTTTCAGAACTCCAGGCTCCCCAGCCTTGGACTCCAGGACGTACACCAATGGCCCCCAGGTTCTCAGGCCTTTGGCCTTGGGCCAAGAGTTACACCATCAGCTTCCCTGGTTCCCAGGCATTCAGACTTGGACTGAGCCATGCTACCAGTATCCCAGGGTCTCCAGCTTGCGGTCAGCCTGTCATGGGACTTCTCAGCCTCCTTAACTGCATCAGCCTATTCCCCTAATAAATCCCCTCTCATACGTATATATGTGTATGTGTATATACGTATACATATGTACTTATATGTGTACACACACACACACGTATATATAGCTCCTATTGGTTCTGTCTCTCTAGAAAATCCTGACAATATGCCCTCTCAGGCCATAAATAATTCCACATAGCCTTGGCTTTGTTTCTCTGTCCATCAGAGGGTCACTTGTCAGGCCTTTTAAAAATTTAAGAGACAGTTTGTTTAATATAACATGACAAGCAAACTCCAAGTAGCATAACAAGTACCTAGAGAATGCATCTCCTAATCTGAACAATTAGTTTGTAATTAATCACTTTAATAAGTGCCCAACTATTTCCAGGATCCACCTGAACCAACCGAAGGAGTATTCCTCTTTATGGGACAAAGAACCCGGGATACTGCTCTAATTGTAAGGGTATCCTTTCCTATCCACCTTGAGCCACAGTTACGAGTTTAGAAGACATTTTATTCTTCCTTTACAGAGGCGAGAGATGACCCTCTGGTTCGTGGATCCTCAATGGCATCCCTGGGTGCATTGGCCTTGTTCTAGCATCCCCACAGGTTTTATAATGGGCCTTGCAAGTTCAAAAATTCCAATTCCAAGGATTCAAACTAGAACAAGCTCATAAAACCAAATGTTCCTAAATGTTCTGTCTATCCCAAAGCAGCTAACCAACACATAGTTCTGTGTCAGGGAGGATCCACGTCTTAGGTAGTTTTGGGGTGGGGGTAATTTGTGTAGAGTCTTGCACATGATGTGCCAAGGGTAGAATAAGCAGCAATCAGAGAGCTTTAGGGAAGATGCTAAAGCCTGTTGTACACCAACTATTGGGTGGTCATGGGTCGCCACTTCAAGAGTCGTTTGAAAGAGAGAGACATGGTGCTAAGGGGTGGGGAAGAAGGGCCTTTCCTGGTAGGCACCAGTAAGCAGGGTGAGGACCCAAGAGTCCTACAGTCAATATGAGCCCAGCAGTCCCCCATTGTACACTCTTGTCCTGAGACTATTCATCTGGGATCTCCACGCAGTCCTGTGGAATTTATCTGTAGTCTTCACTCAGTCCTTCTTGAGTGCCACGCACTAACCCCCTCTCCTTCCCCGGCTAAACCTGCCACAGAGCGTTGGTGGTCTCTGAATTGTATCCAGGTTCGCCTTGTTCACTCCTGGTTCTGATGTGGCTGTGGCTTGTCACCCTTGTATCCTCGAGAATGGTGATAAAGCCCCACAGAGTCATGGGGATGGTCAAGATAACGTCATAGGGCCCTTTCCATCTGGGTTCTTTGTTGCAACTCCTTTTCTTAGGCCCCACATCCTGCTGGAACAGATGTGCGGTATGGAGTTTATGGTGGCCTGGGCTGCAAAGGAACCCAGAACATATGCGAGTACTTGATAATAAGAAAGCAACAGATAAGTAAGAAACCTCTTGGGGTTGGCATGAAGCTACTGGAACTGCCAGATAACTACGTTGATATGGCTTGAGTCCTAGGATCTGGTGGATTGCAGAATTGCAGCTCTAGGGTTCATCTTGATTCTTGGAAGGGCTTCAGGCCACTTGAAGCCTGCTTATGGCAAAGTTTTATTTAGTGTTGCTAGTGCCACAGTTTTCCTTCCACCACAACTTTGGAGGCTGTAAGGGATGTGTGGTTTGTAGTTAATATTTATGTTGGAAAAGTTGTTCCATAAAATGTGCACATTAGTCTCAGTTTAGATATGAGACTATCTTTTCCAGGGGAGGAATGCAATCTCAGGGCCGTTCTGATTGTGGTACCTTCTGCCTTCCAGTAGGGTTGCCTCAGGCTGCCCAGAAAATGAGAGTCACACAACTCAGACCCAGCTGTCACTTCTAAAGCTCCAGTCATCTCTTACACGTGCTGCTCTGCATTGCCGGTGGCACAACAAAGGCAGTGCCCACAATGATAAACTGATGGGAAAACCCAGGTGCACACCAAGCATCTTCTATTCTCTCACGCTCCTTCACCCAACTGTGCCCCTTCGTAAGATACCCAGGCTTGGATGGACAGGGGGAGGAAGGAGGGCCCTAGGGACCGTGGGTCACCATCTCAGTGGAGACGATAATTAGATAGAAGCAGCCGGCTGCTGTCCGGCAGGCTTTTTCATATCAGGGCCCCATTTTGTAGGCCCCACGGTAGTTCCTAAGGCAGAAAGTGACAACGGGCTGAGGAAGGAAGCAGGGAGCGTATAGATGTGCTTACATGTGGACGGCTTCATCGCGAACACTTCCCTTTATGAACTTCAACAGCTTTAACTTAGTAAACCAAACTTCCCTGTATAGTAATTCATACATACAAATCCAATACACTAAACTTATAAATACTACAAATCTAAAGGTCTCTTAGCTGTTTCAATACTAAGAATATTAGTAAGCTTTCAACTTAAATTAAAAAATCTAAATTGCTCAAGCTTTTCCATAACAACAATAAGTCTGTTTCACTGTCTTTTTTTTTTTTTGATGTACCATAATGTATTTTTTAGTCTCATCTTAATGGACAGATTCTTCCTGATTTTTTTACTTTTACAAATAGTGCAGCTAAGAGCACAGCAAACATCCGTCTTTTACACACGTCCAGCTTCTTAGGATAAATTCCTAGCAGTGGAATTGCTCTATCAAAGTTCCCGTACTTGTAAAACATCATGGTGTGTTACTGGATAGCCCTAGAGTAAGGTTGGTCCATTTTATCCCACATCAGGTGGAGGTGTTTCTTTTCCTTCACTACTAGCTGCTGTTAGGCGTTTTTAGAGTTTGCGTTCTGATTGGTGACAAATGGCATCTCATTGTTCCATCTTTTGTCTCCTTGCTTATTAATGATCTTGGACTTTTCATGCTGGTCACTTCTGTTTCTTTTATGACTTTTGACACCGATTTTGGTGGCAGAGAGGGTCTGTCTTTTGCTTATCATCAAGAGCTCTGTAAAGATAATGACCTCTTTACCATTGGGTTGCGACTGTTTTCACTCAAGTTTACTGTTGAGGACAGTCTGAGTTTCCTCCTCTTCCTTCAAGACTCTCTTTCCTAGAACCCCCCGGGCCTGCCCAGCATTACTGTCTGCTGGTTTGTGGGCTGCCTTTGTGGAAGCAAACTTGTCATTGACTGGCACAACTATGGCTACTCCATTATGGGTCTGGTGCACGGCCCCAACCACCCCTTCATTCTGCTGGACAAATGGTGAGAATCTGGGGGGAGAGTGCAAACATCTTCCCCAAAACCACATGAGGGTGGGTGGCAACAAGGGCCTGTGTGGCTCCGGAAACTGGTTCCCTGTGTGCTCTGGAGGAGTAGGGCAAGGCTGGCACATCGGGCGGACACTGGTTACCAGCGATAGAAACAGGCGCAGCAAAGGGGCCATCTGCTGACCCATGAAACTGAAAGGTCCCGAGAAGCGGCTGGCTTCGAGCTCCAGACAGTATCACTGGAGCCTGGCTCATGTCTCTTCACATTCTCTTCTGGCGGTGTTTGGTGGTTCCAGGAGCTTTCCGACCTGCCGTCCCCACACCTTCAGGACTGGGTGGGGACAGCAAGCCTCTCTGATTGTCTTGTACCTGCCTTCTCTGATCTGTCCACTGAGGCAGGGACTGCCGTCCCTTGTTGTCTCAGGCTTGGGACAAGTGCACACTCCATTGAAAGAGCTGGGTCCCAGGGGGCATCCAGACCCCAAGGACAGAGCATGTGTGAGGGCAGATCCCCAAATAAAAACCAGGTGCCAATGAGAGGTGGAGAAGTGGGCCGTAGCCACTGCAGCTGATGCGAACGACTGTGGCAGCAGGTTGGACCCGGAGCAGGAAGGGTCATTTGTCGTACTCTGGGCCCCGGTATGACGCCTGCCTTGGTGTACACTTCCAGCCGCAGGCCATTGGCAGCTTCGGCCTTTGCCCGGATGGGCCTGCTCACTGGTAGTGGTCACAGTAGCAGTGGCAGCACCTGCTGCCTGCTGGGGTCCAGGTCAAGCCCCTTTTGCATTTTACCCATTCAATCTCCATGCACCGCAGTGAGGCTGTACTGTGATTACCCTCCTTCCACATGTCAGGAAACTGAGGCTGAAAGAGATTCTGCCTCTTGCCACATAGCTGATAAGTGTGAGGACCAAAATTCAGCCCTAGGCAGTCTCATTTCAGAGCTTTTTCTGCATCCTGAGGGTGGAACAGCCTGTAATATCCCGATGGTGTTAAATGACCTAGAATCGCTCATCCCCCTTTCCGGTTCTCCCCTGCGATCAGGGTTCAGTCTCAGTTTGGAGCTAACGTGTTTTTAATGCCTGTCTGATGTTCACGGAACTCCCTTTGTACCATGTTGAGAGCGAGCCCCACAGCCTTTGCTAGAGGGGCACAAGGTGGCTGAGATACGACAATGAGGCCTTTATTGTATTTCTTTCTACAGCAAGAGAGACTGGATTTTCACTTTGGCAGTGATATACGGTTTCCTTTTGATGTAGTTGTATTTAAGCTGAAAAGAGGTATGACACAGAGGAAGGTTTGAAATAGCAGTAGTGTGAGTAGAGCTCCAGAATCGCAAGCTCTGGGAAGGTTCGGGAGACCCCAGCTCTGCAGCCTCTTCTGTGTCGAGGGGTGTCGACTCACCCTGCGGTTGTGGTGGTGGAGCCTGTCCAGGGCTCCAGGCTGATCAGTGACACGTCTTTTCAGGTATGAGAAGCTCTTTGGACGCCTGTCCCACATGAACCTGTGTGTGACCAGCGCCATGCGGGAAGACCTGGCAGAGAACTGGCGCATCAGGTATGAGGTCCTGGGATGACGTCAGCCCGAGGGCAGGTCCTGGGATTGGCTGGTACAAGAGCGGCAGTGCCTGCTACCGCATGCTGGCGAGGCATTTTGAAATACGAGGGGATGGGAGATGGTAATTGGTTTCAGGAAGCCGAGGGAGGAGGAGGTGGGGTTTCTTTCCTGGCCAGCCAAGTGGTCCAGGCAGTTTTGGTCTTAGAACATCTCTCGGCGCTTTCCCAAGTAATTGTAAAGCTTCTTATTGTCACTGTCTGAGACTTGGGTTTCCCAAGCGTCCTTTTTCTGGATCTGCCGGGATCCCCTATTCCTTAGGCCTCTCTCCACTCCTCCCCAGAGTCCCGACCACAACAATCTCGTTGCAGAGCTGTGACCACCTACGACAAGGCAGCAGCTTTCTTTAAAGAGACGCCCCTGGACCTGTAGCACGAGCTTTTCATGAAGCTGGGCCGCACTCACGCTGCATTCTGGGCCTGGTAGGCCGCATCCTCAGCTGCCTTCACTGACGCCCGCTGCCGTCCCGGCCTCTCCTGTCTCCCCCTGCAGACCCCAGAACCCATGAATCCAGCAGTTGGCAAAGGCCACAGGCTTGCTGCCTGTTTTTGCAGATACAGTTTCACTGTCACACGGCACCCGCGTTCCCTTCCGTGTGGCTGTGGTGGCTTTCGAGCTGCAATGGCAGCACTGGGTTTTGCAGGAGAGAGCCTCTAGCCCACAAAGCTTACAGTATTCACTCTCTGGCCCGTTAAGAAATGCTTGCCGACCCCTGTGCTATCTTACCCTCCTGCCAGTGGGTTCCTGTGCCCATGGCAGGGTCAGTGGACCTGTGTGTCCCCTGGGGTGTCTCATGGGGCTAGGAAGGGACCTTTGTCCACACATCCTGTCGTGTGCCCCTCAGTAACCTGGCACGGCGGTGGGAGGGGCATTACAGCATCCTCGTCTCACGTTTCGGGAGCGGTGAGAATGGGGAGCCCCACGGAGGAGAGGACTGGTCAGTCTCGTTTGCTGTTGTAACCTCAGCACCTGGCAGCAAGCACTGCTGAAGGGAGCAGGCCCGCACCTGGGCGGTAGGGCTGGCCTGGTGCTGCTGCCATGGTCAGGTACCCCAACCTTCGGGAGCCCGCAGGCCTTGCTGTGGGGAGAGGTGGCCGTCCTGGGCCGGGGCCTGCTTTGCAGCCTCTCAGAGGCTTTTTCTCTACTTCTTCAGCGCAGACCTCAGGGACCCAGCCATGGAGAGGTCAGCCTTCACGGAGCGGGACGCTCAGAGCGGGGTGGGGACGTGTCTTCAAGGGCGGCCAGCCCTGCTGGTCAGCAGCACGAACTGGGCCGGTATGTGCAGCCCCGGGGCACTTGGGGCTTTAATGACGGACACCCGGCCAGCCCATGTGCTCCCTGCCCCCTTGCCTGATGAGAAGGGGAGGGCGTGGCAGCTGGGAGGGAGAGTCTAGAAACAGCCCGTGACACTCCTATCTCTTCTCACAGAGGACGAGGACTTCTTCATCCTGCTGGCAGCTTTGGAAAGTAGGTGTGTGGCTGTGGTGGGGGTTCTGGGCTCGTTGGGGCCGCTGAGCTGGGAGATGCTCTCCTGGCCTTACACTGGGTGGGCCGGCCCAAGGACAGCCCAAGGACAGCAAGGGTGTGGAGGTGGGCAGCTCCGAGTCCCTGTTTGGGTCACTGAGTGGTCAGGTCCTCAAGCTGAAGTGTCGCCTTCAGGGAGCATCTCAGAGGCTGGCGGCCCCGTCGGAGCAGCACCTTGCCCACCTGCCAAGGTAACCCTGGTTATGGCTTCCTTGTTTTTGTAAACACAGAGTTCGAACAGCTGACTCTTGTTGGAGACAGTCTTCCTTCTCTAGTCTGCATGATAACAGGTACTGCCTGGGACACTCGACATCTGCGTGTAGCTGGGGGACGGCAGAGGGGGTGGGGGCGCAGCCGTTACCATGTGCTTTCCATGGGACCTTGTCTCATGAGTCCTTGCTGCAGCTCTGCAGTAGGGTTTTCTGTTGCTTCGTATGGGGGAAACTGAGGCTCAGAGGGGCCTCCTGGCAGGGTGGGGAACCCGGATTTGAATCTCAGCTAGCAGCACTGCAGAGATACCGAGCGTTCCCCTTTTCCGGTGGTTTTCAAACATCTTTTCATTTTTCAAATGAAAGAGCCCACCGGTCAATGTGAAATTGCTTTCGAAGTCCCAGAGAAAGGGAGAAAGGCAGAGGGAGTTCCTGGGCCAGCGGCTTATCCCGCTCTCTCCCCTCCTGGCCCCGGCTCCAGGGGCACCTTGGTGCCCACTACACATGCCACACAGCCTGGGGGCCCTGGCAGGGCAGGGGGCAGTCCCTGTGTCCCCCCGCACATGGCACAGATGGAGAAACCAGATCTACGCGGTTGGTGTTCTGGTGCCAGGCCAGTGTTTGTCCAGCCGTGGTTGCAGCCCGAGGCCCCTCGCTGCAGGTTGCAGGGCCTCAGCGGTCAGCGGTCAGCGTTCACCCCTGGCACGTCTCTGGGTTGCAGACGGTGAAGGCAACGTAGACGTCAGGAGCCTGCTGGTTCCTCCGGCAAGCAGAGAGCCTCTGCAGGACCCTGACCAGCGACAGGATGATTTCTGGGCAGTACAGCACGTCTGCTGAGGTTACAGCGTCTGGGTGGAAGGCGGAGAACTGAGGGACCGTCGCGACGTGCCAGTCCAGATGGGCCACTGTCGCCCTGGGGCTCTCTGAGACGGCGGTGATGTCTGGCTCTAATGATAAGCCATTGAGAAGGACGTTCCCTCGGAGCTGCTCAAGGACACGGCTATGACAGTCACTGAAGATGTAGGCTCTGGGATGGCACGTCTTGCAGATGGCCAGACCCGTGAGGCCAGCTCCATGGCCGAGCTTTAGGACAGTCCTGTCAGTGAAGGCTGCTCGGTCCTCTATGGCCCATTCTGCGAGGCAGAGGGTGGCGTCCCGCGTGACGGAATCCGATGAGTTCCTTAGTTTCTCCTCTAGGCTCTGCCCGGGGAAGGAGCCCAGCTCCACAGCAGCTGCTCAGCGCTCTCCTCTGGCGCCATGGCAGGGCGGGGCCCCTGTTTCACTTTCTTATCATTCATGCGTTCATTGCAGTAGCACTTTTAACTTCCTTCAGAGACCTGGCTAAGTGCTTGGTGCAAGAAGCCTAGCTTTCAGCCTGTCTCAGCTTTTGACATGGCTTCCTCAAAAGCTTAATAGTCATTTCTAGGTTTTGACTTAAAGGAGGCATTTGACTCTTGTTTTCACTTGAACCCTTAGAGGCCACTGTAAGGTTATTAATTGGCCTAATTTCAATATTTTTGTGTCTCGGGGATTAGGGAGGCCTGAGGAGAGGGAGCGAGACAAGGAAATAGCCAGTTGGTGGAGCAGTCAGATCATACACAACATTTATTGACAAAGTTTGCTGTCTAATATGGGCCTGGTTTGTGCCGCCCCCCAAACAATTACAATAGTATCGTCAAAGACCACTGATCACAGATCACCACAACAGATATAATAATAATAAAAAGTGTGAAATATTGCAAGAATTATCAAAGTGGGACACAGAGGCACAAAGTGAGCACATGCTGCTGGAAAAATGGTGCCAATAGACTTGCTCGACACAGGGTTGCCACAAACCTTCAATTTGTAAAAAATGCAACATCTACAAAGCATAGTAAAGTAAAGCACAAATGAGGTAGGCCTGTAATGCAAATCTTGATTCCTAAGAAAATACACAAAATCACTAATATGTTTATTTGTATCTAATACAAGAAAATGTTTTTGTTTTCGTTTTGACACAGAGTCTCGCTCTGTCCCCCAGGCCACAGTGCTGTGGCGTCAGCTTAGCTTACAGCAACATCAAACTCCTGGGCTCAATCAATACTTCTGCCTTACCCTCCTGAGTAGCTGGGACTACAGTCATGTGCCACCATGCCCGGCTAATTTTTTCTGTTTTTAGTACAGATGGGGTCTCACTTTTGCTCAGGCTGGTCTCAACCTCCTGAGCTCAAGTGATCCTCCCACCTCGGCCTCCCAGAGTGCTAGGATTACAGACGTGAGCCACTGTGCTCGGCCAAGAAAATGGTTTTAAAATACAATATTAATATGATCAATAAAGCTATAGAAAAAAGTCTAATTTTTTATGCAGTTAAAAGAAAACCTGTCTCTCTCACTGTCACTCCCATTAAGTATGTGTGGTCAAATCATACTCTAGAGCTGTCCAGTACAGTAGCCACTAGCCAGATGTGGCCACTGAGCACTGGAAGTGAGACAGGAAACCAGCAGGCCCAACTTGTTAAAAAAGTTGCAAAACCTGAACTAAGGCCTCTGACAAAAACAGGAGAACAGGATGCAGCAAAAAAACTGGTTAAGACCAGTAAGAGCCAAGATGGCGATGAGAAAGACCTCTGCTCACCCTTGTAGTTCATTATACTCTGCTTATAATGTATTAACAGATTAAAAAGAAACTCCCACCAGCACCTTGACATTTTACAATTACCCTGGAAGTTACCTTATGGAAGAGGAGAAATTCCTGATTCCTGGAAATCTCCACCCTTTTCCCAGAAAATCCATGAATAATCCACCCCTTATTTAGCATGTAATCAAGAGCGAGCCGTAAATAGAGTTCACCAGCAATGTACATGGGCTCTTCTCTGTTGCTCTGGGAGACAGCCACTGCTCTGTCTGCGGGGTAGCCTGCTTGCTGTTTAATAAACTTTGCTTTCATTTCCAACTTACGGTTCGAGCTTGAATTCTTTCCTGAACAAAGCCAAGAAGCTTCTTGGCCTTCAGGTAGGACACCAGTTTTGGTGTTCACTTTTCAGTGTCAAAATGTGATTAGCCTAATTGAGAAATACTACAAGTACAAAGCACACACCAGATTTCAAAGACAGTACAATTAACGGATTGTGAAATGTCTCATTGATAATTTTTACATTGATTACATGTTGAAACAACATTTTCAATATCGGGGGTTAAATAAAATATATTATTAAAATTAATTTCACCTGTTTTTCTTTACCTTTTAATGTGACTATTAGAAAATTTCAAATGACATATGTGGCTCACCTATTTTGGTTGGACAGTACTGGTCTAGAGTCATTCATAGTTGTGCATTCTATATGTTGCGATGGAATTCCTTAATCTGATAGATGGATTGGTGCTTTTTCTCTTAAATTGATGGCACTTAATTTCTGACAATTAAAGGTCCTAACATCTTAAAAGATGATAGCTTTCTGCTATTAGACTGTTCTTGATGCAGATGCTGCTAGAGGAAAGGAGAGAGTCAGCTCTATCTTTCCAGAAATCTCAGTCTCCAAAGTTTTGTAAGAGTTTCATTTCACACCATTAAACCATATAATGATGTCATACCATTAAGTACAAGATTCATAGACACAATTTCTGGCTGAATAAAATGGTTCCATCTCGTTTTGTTTAATTTCTAGTTATGTTAGGACCCACATAATTCCCCAAGTTCAACTGACTTTGAATTTACCAAAACCTTCACCTAATAGGAAGCAGTTTTGTTTACTGTTGAGGACTGAACTCTGACCTTTTTCTTTTGCCCAAGTTCCTTTCTAAGAGACCTGGTGAGTCACACCTGCAAACGATAAAAATGTCACTAAACTGGTTTCATTAATCCAGTGTAATGTGGTTTACTTCCCAACCTGATTCTGGCACGGCATCATGTGAGAGATAGAAGATCCCCTTATCTTAAGTCAGGCATCCTAGCTGACCCCTATCTTAACTCAAGCGTTCCTTCCCACTGACTCCAGGTCTTTACACAAAGCTTAACTCTTTCAACCAATTGCCCGCTAAAGAATCCCTAACACCCACCTATGACTTGTAAGCTCCTGCTTCAACATGTCCTTCGTTTTCGGCCCAATGTACACCTTCCATGTGTAGATTTATGATTTTACCTGTAATTCCTGTCCCCATGGATGTACAAAAACCAAACTGTAATCTGGCCACCTCAGGTGCATTTTCTCAAGACCTCTTGAGAATTTATCCCTGGGGCCACCGTCTCACACATTCCGCTCAGAACAAACCTCTTTAAATTATTTTAGAGTTTGCATTTTTCTGTGGACACTAGTAATTGCATTTTTGGCTTCATGGTCCACGAAAGGGGAGTCAGGAGACCTTAACCCCAATAACTTGAACAGGAAAGTCCTGCGAAGACCTGTTAACTATTTAAAGGGGATAAGTGCTCCGAGGGAGTGGAAGAGACTCTGAAGAACGTCCTAGGTAGGGGAAGAGTACTCAGGGAGGCACTAACTTGGAAGAGGGGGCCGCCCCTCCCCAAGGCTAGGACGCCGGTGTGATTGCTGCCGCTGGACTGCGGAGAAGCTCAGAGGTTGGCCCGGCCCAAGCTCGCCCACAGTCAGCAGCTGAAGCTGGCAGGAAGGACACCGCGGGCCAAGTCCGGGAGCCAGTCTCTCCCGCAGCCAGGGCGCCGGTAAGCAGAAGCTAGAGCGCAGGAAACCACGGGCATCCACCGGTGAAATTGGCCCCCATCGCCCCTGCTGGTAAGGCTTAATTACCATCATGCCTGTTGCACAGGAGAAATGTTCTACACTGGCCAGCAGAACAGGAAGGGTGGATTTGGAGCAGGCAGGCATTAAGCGACAACAGGCACATTTCCTCTGAAGGTGGAGAGTTTGATCTTTTGCTCTTGGGGGATTTTTCAACAGGTCCGTAAAAGACTTTTCCCTGGAAAGAATTTTCCCAACGTCCTCAATGAGGTTTTGCAAGTCTCCTGGGTCAGGATTGCAGGTGAGGCCTTTTATCTTTTAAGTCTCCTCATAGATCTGGCCATGAGGAGAGTTTTTGTTGTTGTTGTTTTGTTTTTCTCCTTAAACATTTAAGGAATAGCCCCAGGATCACTCTCAGAAAACAACAGGCGTTGAGTCATCTCTGGTACCCCAATCCCAAATTATACAGAGTAAGGACCAAAATGTTTAAAATTAACTGGTGTGTGTGTGTGTGTGTGTGTGTGTGTGTGTGTAGGGGGAGGTTGCAGTTCTCTTCCTCACCCAGACAGGAGTATCCACAGAATGTCTATCTGGCCTAAAGGAAAATACATGCACATGAATATTCCCAACATTACTCATAATGGCCAAAAAATGGAAACAGGCTGAGCACGGTGGCTCACACTTATCATCCTCGCACTCCCAGAGGCTCTCTCTCTGATTTTTCTCTTTTTTTCCTCTCCCTTTCTGTCTTCTAGTCTCATCCCCTCTGCTGTCTTTGACCAGTTCTTTTGCTGATGGCATTTCTGGGAAAATCCCTCCCTGATTTGGCTCCTAAACACAGAACCAGGAACCTGCCATCCCAGCCAAGATGGGAGGATGTGAGTTCTCCTGATGGTCCTGGAAGGGGCTGTTTGCTCATTGCAAGCAAACACCCTCAAAGCCAAACAAAAAGTACCCACAGGTAAACAGCGTGCGACACAGCCCCTTCAGCGGCCACTTAGCAGAAACCCAAGCCCATGGCAGGCGGAAGAGCTGGACTAGGAGGGATGTGGCAGCTGTAGCCCCTGCCCACCCCTCAGCAGGAGTGGTCACCTATGCTGGAGGCCAGGAGGAAGGGGCCAGGTGGCTACACTGGCTGGCAGAGGGCAGCAGGGACCACAGGCAAGGCAGCCCAGGTGACACAAATAACAAGTACTTATTTATTATGGGAATTATCTCTATCCTGCTTTTATGATTATAACATGCACAAAACCAATTAAGAGGATTAAGAGAGAAATAGCAAACATTTCACCATCAATTTTAAGAATATAACATAATAATCTATAGAATTAAAATAATAAGCATCACTTTTAAATAAGTTACTTCTACATCATGAGTACTTTAAAGTGTAACTAGTAAAGAGACAGCAAAAGATATGTAAAAATGAAGATGAAGAGAGGAGGAAGGCACACGGAGACCTGTACATCCATAAGCCGGAACAAGAAACTGGAGTCACTCTTGACCTGCTCTTGGGCTCCACATCCAAGATCACCAAGGTCTGGGAGGTTCTGCTGCCCACATGTCCCTCCTGCCTGCTCCCTCTGGAAAGCTACAGGGCCCAGACCTCCATCCTGCCCGCCTGGATCACGCCCCAGACACTCCACTCCCCTCCCCCAGGCCCCTTCCTCTTGCCACCCAGAAGGCTCTCTGACTCGCACACACCACCCACCTCTCCAAGCTCAAAAGCCCTTCCATTGCCCCCTCCGCCCTCAGGACCATAACACAGGCTCTGCCCCAGCCCCATCTGCCAGAGGTTCCCTTGCCGTCCCCACCCAGCTGCCTGGCAGCCAACTTGTAACAGTTCCTTTTGTCTCAGGGGCTTTGCACATACTGTTCCTTCTGCTAGAATGCCTTTCCCTCTTCTTTTGGTTACATTATTTTTTAATTTACATACAGTAAAACCAGAATTTTTTGTGTACAGTTCTATGAGTTTCAACACATGTACAGATTCATGTCCAGCACACGACGGGCCACACTCCACAAACCTCCCTCGTGCTGCCCCTTCGTTGTTCCCGGTTTCTCCCCCCCTTCCCCCTGCAGCCACTGTCCTGCTCTCCATCCCTACAGTTTTGCCCTTTCTAGAATGTCGTAGAAATGGAATCGCACAGTATGTAACCTTTTAAGACTGATTTCCTCCACTCAGCAAACTGCCTTTGAGAGTCGTCCATGCTGCTGCATGGATCAATAATTTGTTCTTTTTTATTCCCGAGGAGTAGTCCATGGTATGGATACACCACGGTTTGTTTATCTAATCTACAACTGACAGGACACTGGGTTGTTCCCAGTTTGGGACAATTATGAATAAATCTATTATGAACATTTGCATCCAGGTTTGTGTGTAGACACGCGTTTTCATTTCTCTTGCATAAACACATAGGAATGGGATTGCTGGGTTATGTGCTAAGTGTGTGTGTAACTTTATTAAAGAACTGACAACCTCTGTTCCAGTGTGGCCGCGTCACTGTGCTTCCACCCTTCGTGTCTGGGCGTTCCAGTTGCTCTGCATCCTGGCCAGCACTCCATGTTGTCAGGGTGTTTCCTTTCACTTGTTAACTATTCTAGCAGATGTGTAGTGGCTTCTTTCTGCTCTGGACAAAATCCAGGTCCTCCTCGGATACTCCCCACCCTGGAGCCTCCCCGTGTCCCCCTCACTCCTCAGGCTGGGTCCACCCTTTCTCCGCATCCTCAACAGAACATTTAGATCCCAGGACTGAAGCATTTCTCTCTGCTTCCCTCTCCCCCGAACCTACCACCTGCTCCCGCCCCATATACGCAGACACAGAGGTACACGAGTGTGCGCGCGCGCACACACACAGACACACATACACAGACACACACACACACACAAATACACAGCCTCACGAGACTGCGTACTCCCCAGGGCCAGGGGATGTGTTTTTATTTTTGTATTTTCTGCCCTACACAATGTCTGGCTTTAATCGGGCATATTATGAATGAATGAATGGCAAGGTGGCAGGGAGAGGAAGGGACGTGAACACACATTTACAAATAGATTGTTAACTCCCCTTTCTGAGTCTTCTTAATATGCCACTCAGGAATTCCAAAGCCCCGTGGGAATAAGACTCAGTCCCTGCCCCAGAAGACACCTGTTCCTTCGGAACCAGTGAGGCACAGAGACCAGGGGAGGCCCCTAGTTTCCTCAACCTCCACATTCGCTTCCCGCTTCCCTTCCACTCTTCCCGCCTTGACTCCTGGATTCCCCAGCTGCTGTCGTCCGGCACACCCCGTCTCGCACTCAGCCAGCGGTTCTGGAGTCATAAGGCTGGGCCCTGGGGAATAGGGCCAGACCTGGCCACTCCCCAGAGCATGTGTGTGTGTGTGGTGAGGGGAGGTGGACTCCAGCCTGGGGGTTCCCCACAACCATTGCTCCCACCCTCACTCCCAGGCCAGGTGGCCCTTCACACACAGGCCTGTGCAGACACATCCAGATGACACAGGGATCGTGCCCCAAACTCCCTAGAGGGAAAGACTTCAGCAGTCACATCGCTAGAGGACCAAGCAAAGACAGCCCCAAGTCGCTCGCAGCAGCCTCGCCTCAGTGGAAACTGATGCCCTCCGCGCCCCTGTTGGCACCTCGGGTAGGGCATGGGGGGGCCTCCCAGGCCTGTTCTGAGGAGCTGCCAGCATCTTGGGGCCCAGCTCAAGCACGTTCTCTCACTGGCCCCTGAAACAACTGCAGAACTAATCTCTTTGTGAGGCCTGTTTCTGTCCTGCCCCCTACACTGTTTTTTGGACCAACCACCTCTTGGTCTGGTTGGGCCTCTTCACTGTTGAACACATTGATTGTCACACTGGAAAAAAAGATTTTCCTTGGGGCCACAGTGTTTTATTATGAACACAGAATAAAAACTTAAAAAACAAAATGATCCTTTCTAATTTGATGAAAAACTTGTTATTTTTTATTGTTCTCTGTGCACGTGTTGCATGTAATTCAATTGTCAATATGAATTGTAACAATTAGAACATCGACAAGTAGGATTTTCATGAACCGAATGCAGGTGACCCCCTGGGCCACCCACCATGTAACATGCATGCTACAGCATGGCAGCTGAGTTGCCTGCACACCCTGTGGCTCCCAAGGTAGAGACGGTGTGATCACATACGCTTCACGAGGCCCAGGCTCAAAACTATCGTGAGTTAAGTACAACTCACATGGCAGTTAATGCGTTAAAACCTGCTGCTCCCTGCATATCCCTGCCCTTCCCTGGTCCAGGATGCAGCAGGGGCTGCAGGTAAAGGAGGTGCCCACAAGAGAGAGGGTGTCAAATTCCCCCAGACTCCAAGGGCTAGATTTCAAGGTTCCCTGTTCTGATTCAAAAACTGGTTTAACCTCTTCCTCAGCTGAGCCTGGGAACTTTGGGGACTCTCTCTGGGCAGGAGGATTCACCCCAGCATTAGACCCCAGGGGCCTGTGGGGCTACACCCTCATCCAGGCAGCAGCGCTCAGCAAGGAGGCCCAGGGGAACAGAACTGGGTTTTTCCTACAGGCTGGGTTTTTCCTGCCTCATGGGAAGAGAGACTTAGAGGAGCAAGAAAACCATTTTAGGATAAAATCTGCTCTACATCATCCATACTTAGAGAAGGGTCCCAGAAGAGGCATGAAGTTTATGCGGAGCACAGCGTGGGTTCCAGCTCAGCCAAGGTGTGTGTGGGGGGCAGGTGGGGAATGGAAGGCGCCTTATCACGGTCCTCCCCCCAAGGGCGGCAGCAAAGCCTATCGCCCCCAGCTCTGGGGCAGAAATGAAAGCCGCCGCCCCATGCAACTTTCGGGGCACAACTCCAGCCCCAGATGGCCCCGCAGGCTCCGCACGTCCACAGCGGTGCGCGTTGCTCGCGACCGCCTGTCCGGTAAGCACCCCACCCGCCGCTCGCGCGCTCCCTCTGGCAGTTCATACCATGTCCTGGCGGCACCGCTGGCTCCCTGGTGGTCGCGCTCAGCCGGCTCTCAGACTCATCCGGCCGCCCCCCGCCGCCCCCGGCGCCGTGGCTCACCGAGCTGCCCAGGATGCGCGGCTCGGGCGGGTTTCCCGGGCTGGAGGTCCACACCGTCCCTGCCGAGCGGCCCCGCGTCAACTCCCGGGCGAGCGATGAGCTCCGTGAGGCTCCGCAGGTGGGGAACGCACGCGGGATCTGCGGGGATCAGCGGGGACGTTTGCAGAGTTTGCAGTCCCCGCAGCACGTCCCAGCCCAGCCTCCCTATTTCCTCGAAAGTGCGGGAGGGGAGAGCTCCTTTCGTTAAAAAAAAAAAAAAAAGCCCTGGGCCTCCCCGAGCGGTCTGGAGCAGGGGTCCAGGTGCTAGGAAGGAAAGCGCCTCGCCCTGCCCACCCTCCTGCCGGGTGATGGGCCCAGGCTGGGCAGTGGGGGGCGCCAGGCAGGGCCTGGTAGCGGAGCCCATCCCACCTCTAAGGTGTGGGAGTGCTCGGTGAGCTCGTTGCCACCGTGCGGGTCCTGCTGAGGGTCGCCCAAACTGCCACCCTCCACTGCAAAGGCTCAGAAAGACAGGTCTTTTTACTGGCACCTCTTCGCTTTGTTTGGGCTCAATTCCCAAGGGCGGTTTGGAAGGAAAATCAGTTGACCCCCTTAAAGTCACTAACAGTGAACAGTTTTTCTCCTTAAGAAGGAATCACTGTTAAGGTCCCTGGAGTAAGTGACTGATTCCCACCTCTCCGCTTTGGATGCACAGACAGTGCTTCTTGTCCCCTGGGTCACCCACTGCTGACAGTGGCACAGTGGAGGCAGGACCTGAGAGTCTCCAGGCGCCTTGTTGGGGAGTGCTGGGCTTGGAGTCTACAGCCCTGGAACCTGGGTTGGCCCCACTGTTAACACTCCCATGACCTTCAACCAGGCCCTGGGGCTGTTTGAGATTTGTGTCCCTCAATAGCCCAAGGTTTGGACCTCAGGATTTTTTTTTTTTTTTTGGAGACAGAGTCTCACTGTGTTGCCTGGGCTAGAGTGGGGGCCGTGGCATCAGCCTAGCTCACAGCAACCTCAAACTCCTGGGCTCAAGCAATCCTCCTGCCTCAGCCTCCCGAGTAGCTGGGACTACAGGCATGTGCCACCATGCCTGGCTAATTTTTTCTATATATATTTTTAGTTGTCCAGCTGATTTCCTTCTATTTTTAGTAGAGACGGGGTCTCGCTCTTGCTCAGGCTGGTCTCGAACTCCTGAGCTCAAACAATCCGCCCACCTCGGCCTCCCAGAGAGCTAGGATTACAGGCGTGAGCCACCCTGCGCAGCTGACCTCGGTATTCTTAAGAGCCTGTAGGTAATGGATAGACCTGCAGGCAGAGTCAGCTATAGGGTGCCTGAGAATGGGGGGACCAGGCTGAAAAATTACCCTCCAAGATTGAAACTAACGGGAGTCATCATTAGATAGACAGAGACTGGCATCTTCCCAGCAGTCACCTGCCCGAGAATGACTTGAGGTTGTCACCGACAGCAGTGCTTCTAAAGGGAACAAGGATCCAGAGGGCAGCCTTAAACTGTGTATCTGGGGAAAGTATTCAGTCTTTAATGTTCCAGTGCTTTCTGTACATTGTTTCCTTTAATCATCACAAACAATACTAACAGGAAAAATTTATTATCATTTTACAAATGAGGAAATGGAGGATTAGGGTGTTAAAGTGACTTTCCTGAGGCCAGATAGCCAGTAAAGGCTTTAGCAAGCCCATGTCTGTCTGCTGGAGCGTGAGGGGAAGGGCAGACATTGAGACAGCAGGACCAGGGGGCAGGATGCAGAGCTGCAAGCTGCCCCGTGTCTGTGCATGCGGAGCACTGAAAGGACAGGGGTGTGAGCCCTGGATGAGGAACAAGGGAAGAGGGAGGGGACAGTGCACACTAGTCAGAGTTTTATTTAGATGTTTAGGGAGACAATGTGATCTTTTGAGTCTCCTTTTCTGACTTTGACCCCCATAAGAGGTACATTCTATGTCATGACCTTTTACACAAACATGTCTATAAATGTAACTAAAAAAATCATAAAACATCACTTCATGTGATGCACTCTGATGTTTTCTATTCTATTCCATTTTAATTATTTTTAATGGTAGTCTCAAATCACTAACTGTATTTCACTAATATTCACTAATGAGTGCGGTCTGAAAAACACCATACTAGACAGTGCAACAGAGATATTTCTGTAGATTAATATATCCCAAAGGATTTTTTGGTGTTCTGTAGAATATATCTGTTATACATGAAAAAAACTTAAATGGCAGGGGTTCTGTGGGTCAAGTTCGGGGAACGCTGAGCACAGTTAAACAGATTAGGGGGAGGGGCAGTAGGACTTATCAGAGCCTTCGATGCTAATGTGCACTGAGATTTTCTGAGACAGGAAGAGAGAGCGTTTCCCAGGCTTACTGGAAGCAGCTCTGAGGACTCATGGAATACACTTGGGAAAAGCTGCTGCATGATGTGGCCTAGCCAAGTGAAACGTCACACAAGAACACAGAAGTCTGAGTTCAATGTGCTGTCATGGGTCAAAACATAAAAGAAAAGAAAACAAAAAGAATGGAGAGTCAAAGCCTATATACTGAAGCCAGACTCCCAAGCTCAGCATCATTTTGTTGACCTGATACTCTGCTCAGGTTAGGTGCCACATGGTGAGCATAGGAATTCCATTTGTGAACGAACAACTGCACTAGACTTATAAGCCAGATAGAATGTGAGCAGTCAGTACTGCCGCAATGGCCACAGCTGGGGATGCAGGTAAAACTGAGCTCCGGACCTATCGAGCTGAGGCCGCACCCTGGACGTGCAATGACTGCACCAAGGGAGGACCTACCCTTCACAGAATCCTGCCTAGAAAAATCTACTTCCCTTTCTTTACTAACTTCTAGTTGACACTGATTCCTTCCAGCTCTGAAATCACAATTCAGACGACTGGTCCGTATTATCTTAGACGCCACAATTTTCTTCCCTGATAACATCCTTCTCCACAGAGCCACACTGTGACTCTGTGACCCAACATATCTACAGTGCTCACAAGCCTTGTCATGCCCTTTCTCATTGCCTGTCTCCCTGCTCCCTCCCTCTCCATGCATGCAGGGGACACCTTTACCAGTCACCTGTAATGCTGGTGTTTGCCGCTAAATGTCAAGAAAAGAGTCATCACATTAGAAAGTTGCCTAGCAGTATCTAACAAATATACAGGTGCGCTGTGACCCAGGAAATCCACCCCTAGACCCATATCCGGGAGAAACGCCTACACATGTTGACCAAAAGCTATGTATGAGAATGTTCACAGCAGCACTATTCACGGTGGCTCCAAACGGAAACAACCTTGCTACTAGCTTTGGCCAGTGAGATGGGAGTGGAAGTGACGTCACTTCAGGGTGGAGGCTGTAAGGGCCCATGCACGACTGGCCACATGCCTGCCCCTACGCGCCTGTGGAGGTGGAGGCCGCCTCAGCCTGTGTCTCTGGGTGAATATGATGAGCGGAGCCCCCAGGAACGCTCACTGCATATGAGGGTGAATGAGAAATAAATCGGTCGTGTTAAACCGTTAAGATTTGGGAATTGTTTGTCACTGTAGCATGATCTAGTCCACCCTAACCACATGGATAAAATCATTTTTGAGAAGAGTTCCTCAAGAAGAGTCATAAATCAGATTCTGTCACTTACCTGCTCAAAAGCTCCCAGAGGCTTCACACCTCCTTCAGAGTGACATGCCACGTCATACGGGGGCCTGAAAGGCCTCTATGCTCACTGCCCCTCCAGCAGCATCACCTGCACTCTGTCTCCCGCTCATCATTCACCTCCTCACTGTTCCCTGCACACTCCGGGCACTGTCCCACCTCAGGACCTTGGCAACTGCTATCCCTGCTTTCTGGAGTGCCCTAGATATCCCCAGAGAATTGGAACTATGGGCCCTAGAAATAAAGTTACTTCACAAAATAATTCAAATATATTTGAATCTCCCATATTTGGATTGTAACGTGTGATGACACAACAACAAAAAAAAGGGCATTGCTGAAGGGGTGAGAGCCAGGATGGATTTTAGGGACAGGAGCACTGGGTGACCACTCATTGGCCTGTTAGTCATAAAGAAAATCCACACTGGGGAAGAAAGGGGACCTGCTGGGGGCCGAGGGGCCCTCTTGTCTCCAGGGCTCCAGGCCCTGCTGCAGCTCACTCTCCTGTGGCTCGGATGCCTCTGAAGGCCGCGGGCTGCTTCTTGCTGGCTCCCGCCCAGAGCTGTGAGTCCATGCCTGGCTGACCTCCCACTCTGTGTTGTCGGGATCCAAGAGCTCTGGACCTTCTTGCTCTCTGCTCTAAAAGCAAGGACACATTTGAAGGGGACTATCAGGTATTTCGAAATGTGCAGGACATTCTCATTGACGCTTGCGCCCTGCTGTGCAACAGATGTCAGGGCTTCCTCCTCCTGTCTGTCTGAAACTCTGTGCCCTGTGACCAACTACCCATGCCCTCCCTCTGCCATCCCCCAGCCTCTCATCACCAACAAGCTACTCTACTTCTACGAGGTCAGCTTTGCAGATTGAACACGTGACATCATGCTGCATTTGCCTTTCTGAGGTAATGGGTATGTTAATTAGCTTGATGTCACCATTCCACATAGTGCACATGTATATAAACTTCACACTATACCCCATACATGTGTGCAACTATGACTTGTCTATTAAAACTAATATCAGTAAAACCGTAATAAATAAAATAGATGCAGGAAGTGTGGCTGGACCGCCCCACATACTTGCTGTTGCCACTTGAGCCGTCCACAGTCCCTGGTACCACCTTGTTTAGCCTTCTGTGGCAGATCTTTTGGGCTGGCAGGATGCAGCACATTCTTAATATTAGCTTGGCAAATTTCCTAGTGAGCCCCTTCTGGCCCTGGCCCTCCTCAGAGGGAGAGATCAAGGTCTTCCATCTGGCTGCCCAGCCTGAAGACAGTTGGCTTCTCCGGATGTTTCCTGGGCAGAGATGTGTCCTCCTTGCTCTTCCACATGGCTTCTGGTGCTGTGGGTGGAGGGGAGGCCCTGGGGCCATGCTGTCATGCTGTGCTTGGATTGTGACTTGTCTCCAGTCTGTGTAGAGGACTGGCAGTCACTGTGGCTTTCTTTGTCTCATCTTGCATCTCCTGCCCATTGATCCAA